AGTTCTAGGGGAATTTTGGGATGATACGGGGTATCTGCTGAGAAATGAGATCCCTTACTGTCCAGAGTAAGTGGATGCAAGGGATACCTACCATCTGGGAAGAAGGATAAGGAATATGGGGACAAGGGCAAGCGTAATTCTAGATGAAACACACTTGTCTAAAGACGAGCGAAAGCCTTGCTGTTTCACACATATGAAGCCCCCTGAAATAAATGACTGATTATATAACATAATAGACTATGACTTGAAACAAATAGGGATGCCTTAGCTGTAGTTCTCAGAACTGTGCTCTTCAGAAGGATGCTGAAGCTACGGGAAGCATTATTCCAAGTTGAAGTTCAAGGTTTTCCCCCAAGGACCCTCCCAAATTAGTATTGCGCTGACCCAGACTGTTCCCAACATGGACACAGGAGAGCTCTGTGATGAGCGGAGGTGCAGCTCCCTAGCACTATGCTGTGTCTCGTCTCCTCTCAAGGAAACATCTGGGGGATGGTTGTAACACTTTAAAATATTTTTTAAAAACATTTTTGAAAAAAAAAACTCTTTGGAGGTCTTTCCCATATAGGATTGGGCGAGGCTGACTTACTCTAGCAAGCATATGGCATTTGTGCAAAAGGTCAGACCCAGGATACAGTGCAACTTGAAAGAAAGCTTCCCCACCTGACAATAGTGTCACACTCAGGAAGTACAGGTCGGCACAGTCCCACATAATGCAAATGAAGGCTCCATGAAGACATCTTTCCACAGAGCGTGAGGGTGGCAAGGTGTTCATGGTCTCCTCAGAGCAGCGCTGTAGGAGGATCCAAACTGCTGCTCTGCAAATGATCGACTAGTCCAAGGCCACGAGGCAGGTACACATCAGTCCCCACAGCTTATTCCAAGCATCTCTTCCACACCCGCCTCCAGCACAGCAGCACTTGGAGTGCAAACGTAGCCCTGAGCTCTAGGAAATACTCTGCTCCCTGCAGTTCATCTTCTAGCTTCTTTCCACTGCTTGCACAATAGGAAAGACATGTCTGAAAGTGACTTTAGCAAATAGCCGTGCATTTTTTCCCAACTGCTCCACACAGAGTCCTCTATGCTTGTCAGGCATAGGTACTGTTCACAGCCCAGAACTTTCATCAATACAGGCACTTGGGCAGCAGGTGTAGCTGGAGACCTATGACCCTTGTCAGCCTGTCAGCTGTTCCTTTCTAATTCTTTCTTGCTCTGGGTCCCCTGTCACCTCCCATTCTGGTCAGAGTCTCTCCACACGCTTCTTTCCTGTTCTTTATATGGAAGAGTATGTCCGGAACAAGGTGTGCACAGCTTACCCCTGTGTGAACCTTGTGTTCAGTCTCCACCAAAGGGAAAGGAGCCCCTGAGCTAAATTTACTGGCCTCTGATGGCTATTTATCCTCACATACTGGAGAACAGCTCCAACAGGAGGATGCTATGAATGTTCCTATCACAAGCAGAGATAAATGTGATTGCTTAGGAAGCTTTGGAAACTCTTGCAATATCCTCGATCTTCCAGAAGAAAAAAGCCACAAACCCTACTGTCTTCCAAGCCAGCCTTTGCTGACACTGCATTTCTAAGATGGCTCACATGCCAACACTTTTTTATCACAATTCTTCCAGAGCAGGAGGGGCCACAGCAAGCTATTGAAGTCTGAGATCCAGCTTTTTGCCCTGAATGGTGGAAGGTTTGTATAATTCATGCCAGCTCACTCTGCATGTGTCACTGGTGAGCAATGCTAGCCCTGGAAATGGCTGACCTGGAGGAGGAGCGCACTATGAGGTCAGAATGAGCTCTGCCTCCATCTGTGTGCAGAATCTAGATTCTCTTAGCAGGGGTATCCCCTGCTTCCATTCAAATTGCCCAGGCTGTCATCCTTTGATTAAGAGGATGATGACGACCCAGAAGCCACCAGGTGTTTAACCAAAATTTAGTTTCTTGATACTCCGAGAAGCAGGAGTGAAGGTTTTTCCACTTCTACCGTCAACACAAAAACTCAGCATTCAGCCCAGGCACCACTCGGGACAAGGGAGGTTACTGTACAATGGGAAGAGAGCCCGCTTTTTCTAACTAGCTGGTGAAACAGCTTCTGGTTTTCATTTGAAGTGTATTTGCTTTTATTTTATATGTATTATGTTTGTTTACATGTATGTCTGTGTTACAGATGATATACAGATGTTACGAACAGCCACATGGGCGCTGGGAATCCGACCCAGGTCACCAGGAGGAGCAGTCAGTGCTCTTAACCAGCTGAGCTGCATCTTCAGTTTCTTATAGTTTCCATGGCTTACCCCTCCTGTCATTGCTGAGGGTTATCCGGACCGTCTCATTCTGTGTCTTCATGCACAGCCATAGGTGCTCCGGTAACTTTACGTTAATGTTAATCCCAATTAAGAGTACTCATCTGTGTAATGTTCTCCATATACCCTAAATGTTTAACTCTTCATGCCTGCTCATTTCAGTGCCTCCTGTTTTCCTTGCACGTTAATATCCAGAGAGAGTAGATGCCTGTCTTCTCTTCATCAGAGCCTTCCAGCATTTTTCTGAGGCTTTCTCGGTTGTAACTGAGGCATAGACTCAGAGTTACAGCAACCTGGCAGTTACCACAGATTTCATTTAGATCTGCACATCCTCAGGAAACACATGGCCTGCCATGCCCAAGAGAGGATCTGCCTGAGCACAGGGTGAGGCTACACCTGCTCTCCAAGGCCTACCCTGAATTGATACAGCATAGAGATATCATGGACCAGCCCCTTGCTCCCACAACAGCTGCAACTTCAGTGTCCCCTCTGCCAAGCATAAAATGCCCCACACAGGCTAATGACAAAGAGCTTTTGTGTGTGTACACACCGCAGAGCAGATTTGGAAGTTGGTTGTGCCCTTCCCTAAGAGTCATCTGCCCAAATAAACAAAGTGCTCAGTCCTGTTTGTAGCATTGGTAAATTTGCCACAGTGCACTAGGATCAAGCTGCACCTGTTCCTAAGTGCCTGACAGGGTAGAGCAATGGAGCAGAGCAATCAGAAGAAACTCAGGGAAGTGATGGTCAGACAAGCCTGAGAAATGAGAATGCTGAACCCTCAGCCCATAGACTGAAATGTTCTCATCTTAAATTATGAAATCTAAACAAACAAAGATGATCAATTCAGTGCAGTTCTGCAAATGACAGCTTGTGGCACTGCGCTCAACATAGTACAAGGAAACCTTTCCTGGCTGATGAATCTGGGGCAAGGAAACCAGTCCGTGTTTCCTAGGGTTCTCCAAAAGATGGTATGTGACTCTGAAAGGATAAAGCTGTAAGACTGTTAACAATAGACAGGTTTCAGACTTAAAGTTCCTCTGTCAATTGTGTTTAAAGACTACATTTGGTGGTAAAAACTTCTAGTGGATAGTTAACTTTAGTTATCTCTGAACACGTGACTCTGAACTGTGATGTTTTGTTTCAGGCAATGTTAATTTTCTTTGTATTCTTGCAAAACCATGCACACTGAATTCACAACTGTGCCATCAAGGAAATGAATGTATTGTCATAATCACCTATTTTAGTAACTTCCGGGATAGGCACTGTACCAGCTTGGAGGAAAATAGTATTTTTTTCTAAAATCTCTTCCAAGAAACATGTGATATCATTTACATAAAACACCCCAAAAAGGCAAGTACATAGAAAAGATGTAAGACATTAATACTTTCTTGTAGTGGGGAGGAAAAGGGAAGATGTGGTTCCTTTACAATATGATTAAAATATTCTGAAGTCACGTGGTGCTGATGTTTATACAAGTCCATGAATGTACTGAAAATTCCACTGAATTACACAATTAAAAATGGTATAATGAATGGTATATGGGTTAGGCCTTAGTAAAGGTGGAAAAATAGGAACTAGCCATGAGTTTTAGCAGGTGCATCCAGCTAAAGAAAGGCCTCAGAACAGAAGGTGAAAGAAGAGCAGATCCAGTTAAAGAGGCTGCTTCTCAGAATGATGCTGCATTTGGAGAGGAGCCATATGCGATCATTGTCTTCATTATGAAGAGCTAAGCACTGTGTTGTGTAGAAAGGGTATTGCTAAGTGATCACTGACTGAGATTTGAAGGACAGCACCGTGTGCTACCACGCAATGATTCTAAAGTCAGCAAAGTATCCATTAGTGCTTTTCCTGTAACTCTCACTGTGGTGTCACATGGAAACACTCACGATGCCACAGTGTAACACAACTGTGGTGAGTTTGGCAAGTCACACTCACATTTATCTGTCCTGTTGTGTTTTGTGGTTGTTCTGTTTATTTTTTGTCACCTTGGCATAAGCTAGTTACCCAAAAGAAAAGCAGAACTGAAAAAATGCCTCATAAGATTGGCCTACAGGCAAGTCTGTGGGGCATTTTCTTAATTATTATTTGACAAGGGAGGGCCCAACCTAGTGTGGATGGTGATAACTCTGGACTGGTGGTCATGGGTTCTACAAGCAAACAGGCTGAGCAAACAGGAGCAAGCCAGTAAGTAGCAAACCTCCATGGTCTCTGCCTCAGTTCCTACTTTGACTTCCTGATCTGACTGTCTTCGTTGATGGACTTGGATGTGAAAGTGTAAGCGAAAATATTTTCTTTCATTCCCAAGTTGATTCTGGTCATGGTGTTTCATCACAGCAATGAGAATGTTAACTAAGACAACGTCTACACTCTAGAAATTTTGTCATTGTCAATCTCAGCCTTCCAATTATATATTATAATATGGGTATAGAAGACACATTACAGATGAAAAATTATACACTACTATCCCTTACAAGCCTAATCATTAGCCTTGGTGTTTACGTTTGTCTACTATGGACTCAATAGGCAAAGGCTGCCAGCTCCTAGAAAATGGAAAGTCTGTAGAAAGTGAACAGTATATAGTGGAGATTTATAGTGTCTGAGCATCACTGTATTACCATTAATAAAAGCTTGAACTCTAGACCTATGGAAGGCAAAAATACAGGAAAGGAGGCTAGAAACCACGCCTTGGGTACTGCACCTACCTGAGGCAATATAGGAGCCTCCTCCAGCTTTATAAAGGAAGTGACTGGCAAAGGGGGCTGCGCAGATGATGAGAAAGCTCGCGGTCAAGGCGGCCACTACCCCCAGAAGCAGCAAGACTGCCCAGAAGCCACGGTAAACTGGAAACCAAGAACAAGGGAAGAGAAACACGTTAGCTCTGGTTGTAGCAGGCTGTCCCACTAGGAGTTTGTTCCATATTATTGTAATTTCGTTCAAGGACAGCTGGGTAGAATCTCACAGTGTACCCAGGGTGATGATCTTGAGCAGGAATTCTCAGCAGGAAACCAGACTCAGCCCTGCCCATCTTGACACATCTTATTAAAGCTTCCTGCCTGGCATTTGTGCCATGCAAATTCTGAATGAGCCACAGAAGCTCAGTTCTCTGACCACGTTTTCCATTTGAGAAGTGGGGATACTCAAGGATCTGCCTTGTGTGTGATCACAGATCAGTGATTCATAGCAGCTGTCCAAGGGCCACAAGAAACCCAATGCCATGACACGTAAACACTGCCTCGTTGCTTCAGGTCTTTGTACAATCGTGAGTTCTGGTAGTCATAACCAAAAGAAGCTGGCTTCTATTTAGACTGTGGCTCTCATGGAAACTATTCTTAAGATAATGAAAACTACACCATTAAGAAAAGTTTGTATCAGAAAAAAAAGAAACCTTTTATCAGACACATACGGAATGTGGATCTTATTAAATATTTGTATTACAGGAAGAAAGTGTCAACATGAAGTTGTGTGGGAGTCTTTTACTCAAGGACAGACAGGGCTGAGGTAGCGCATGCAGCTAGTGATTAATGGACTGTGGGTCTAGTGATTTATAGTAATCAAATGAAAAGGCATCCTAATGATCATTTTTGAGCTGGATAATTACCAATCTATTAAACAAATCCATCATTTCCCTAAGGCAAAACCGCTAAAATGAGTTCTGTTTTGTGTAAATGGGGGTGATCTCAGGGAGACATATTAGTCAAATTATAATTTTCTTAAGGAAAATACAGACTCTTTATAGGAGAATAAAATGTATGTTTCTCCATCCTGCATGCAAGGAACAAATATGTCAATCAACTGCAATCTGAAGAAACAAAGGGCAGGATTATAGAAAGCTGAAAAGAGGGGCCATCACAGTTTGGCGAGAAGAAAGGCTGCTACCAGTGTGGGTTGATGACTCAGTTCTGATTGCAGGGGTAGAAATGTCCGCTTTCATTTTACTTTTCAATGCTGACCACTTAGCCAAAGCTCCTAGGCCTGTTGTGATATATGTCTTGTAACTGTAGCCAGGTTGGCAAAATATTCAGTCATCAAGAAACACAATCCCCCCCCAAGTACATCTCAGAACTTCTACCCCAGTGAGACATAGCACCCAAGACCCAGGAGATGATCCATGCTTTGCATGGCAGAACCTGGAAAGGGGATCTTTGTTTTCCAAACAGTGGGGAAAGCATCATTAAATATTTCCTGTTGTTTCTTGCTGTTTTGCTGCATGGCACAATTACATAGATCTGTACCATAGTACTGTATGCTTAAATTGGACTAGAACTCAGTCTAGAAGTGAGAGGGGATAGAGGGAACTGTGCAGGAGAGACAGCTACAAGACTGTTGCTCTATCCTCTGACCTACACCAGCATCAAGCTCACTCCTAAGTTCCCCATGCCTACATGCCCAAGGGAGTGTGACAAAATCTTCCAGAGGCCAATTACATTGTGAAGTCTCCTGAGCTCCAGAGTCAGCCCCTAGGTAGTACACACCAAGTTTAGGACCCCAGGGTTTCTGAAAATTCAGTTGATGTCAAAACTGCCACCACAAACATAAAGGACAGGATGAGAAGATTGGTTCACTGTTGAAATAATAGGTTAATAATTTTCTGAATTTTTAAAAAAATATATAAAGCCTGAAAATTGAGTATTCAAACATGTCTAGGTTACAAGTTAACGTTATTTGATAAACAAAGACCATGATAAACTCTGACCAATGCTTGGGAGAACATACAATGAGTCAGCAACTAGGAAGCTACTGATTCATGTCTAAGTTCCTAGATTTCAAACTGGTATTACAGTCCCTGTAAATTGCAGTGAATGCTCTTTAAATGTATAGGAAGAGTGAAGAGTCTATAACAAATGAACTAAGCTGAATTTCTGGATTTGCAGTAAAAATTTCTGAAAATGTAAAATTCTGAGATGGGCTTGGCAACACAGGAGACTAGGAAGAGGAGAGTGAGTGGGCTGGAATTTTCTAATATGAATGAGAAACGGAGACACACACTGAGAAAAAGTGAGAATGGAGTTCCAGATACTGTGTGACAGAATTAAAAGTTCTCATATGTCCATCTGTGGAAATCCCTACGGCAGAGGCATCAGATGTTGGTATAGAAATGGAGTCATCCCTAAAGCAAAGCCTATCAACTCACTAGGGAAAGCCAAATGTGTAGACACAAGAAACTCCAAAGCTTATAAGATCAAAGAAATTCTCTCAGACAGGTGAATATAAAGTGACTAAAAACTATAGATATCTTGAACATATTCAGAAACAGAACCTATGATATGTCACACACAGGGTAACAGTGGCCACAAATTCCTTATCAGGAAGAACAGAGAATAAAAATAATTGTAATCTCAAAACAATAGAAATAATTAAGATGAGCAGTGGTGGTGCACACCTTTAATTCCAGTACTGGGGAGGCAGAGAAAAACTGATCCCTGAATTTGAGGCCAGCCTGCGCTACAGAGTTCCAGGACAGGCTCCAAAGCAATACAGAGAAACCCTGTCTCTGGAGAAAGAAAGGAAAGAAAGAAAGAAAAGAAAGAAAGAAAGAAAGAAAGGAGGGAGGGAGAAAGGGAGGGAGGAAAGGAGGAAGGAAAGAAGGAAGAAAGGAAGGAAGGAAAGAAGGAAGGAAGGAAGGAAGAAGGACAGACGGACTAGAAGAACACAGTAGAAGGAAGGACCCCATATCCTGAGATTCTACATCTAGTGACAACATCTTAGAGAAACGGATGAAAAATACAGTCATTTGTGACCCAGGAATGAAGCATTTGCCCCAGCAGACTCATCCCTCAGGAACTTCTGAAGGGGGATCTTGAGGTCAACAGGATTTAAAACAAGGCCATGCTTGAAAAGTCAAAAGTAAGAAAGGAAAAAAAAAACAGTATCTGGGAAAAGAGTAAGCCATCATTTTCTCCTTTAAATGTCTTAGAATGAATTTAAATATTAAAATGTTAAATTATTGTCAGCAGGTGCTAAAGAGATGGCCCAGAAGTTAGGGTCATCAGTATATTCCCCTTTGTGTGGTATCTTTAGTTTTTGTTTGGCGAGAACTCTGCTGCTATTCATAGAGAAAAGATAGTTACCCCATTAGAGACTATCTAGCTTGCTAACAAGGGTACAGGTAAAACATAAGGCTACTCAGAATCTCTCCCTGCTCTTCATAGCACATACAACAAAAAGCTTCAGCCACTGTACCCTAAAATCTTAACCAACACCACGGTTCCCACACCTTGAGTAGAACTAAAGAGACACATTACAAACTGGCATAAGTAGGGATCATAAGGAAACATTTATTAAGAATTTCTTAGGAAGGAACTATAAAAATTACCCCAAAGAGCAGGACAGTGAAGATCACTAAACAATATGGAGAATTAATTCTGCACTGAAGTATGTGTTCATGTGTGAGTACATACACATGTGCCTGCGTGTGTCTGTGCATGTGTGTGTGTGTGCTTGTGTATGTGCATGTACTTACAGGTATATCTGTGCACATATGTAAGCTACCACAGACAGGAATTTAATTGCACAACTATTATAAGTTCTGAATTCCTATGTAATGAAAAAAACCAAAATTCCAGGTACTTGTTTTCCACTATAAATACAATAAAAAGGCACTAAAACCTACTTAATGTGAATGATCGTTGACAAAATCAGCCCCAAGCTTTAATTATGAGTTGCTTTAGAATAAATCCCACCCCACACATTTGCACCCATCAGGAACCCCCAGAATGCCCCTGAGGTTGCTGATAACCAGAAACCATCCCATTTAGCAAATGCATGCTGAAGGCTGCCCCATGCAAAGTGCCCCAAATTGAAAGGCAAGACACAATCCTTTCATTCACAAGCTCATTACAGCTGGAGAAAGCAGATTCATTTAAATGCTCCAATGGAGGCAGACTTTGATATATATCCCATGTCATTTCAAAGCTGAGCAACAACAAGAAAAAAACACACTGTGCTTGATCTTAATGATTGCCCTGTCTTAGGCAGCCACAGACAGGGGTCAGGGTATTTCTAACTTGAAGAGGGGAGAATTTCACCAGAGATTTAGGAGGAAGCATCTCCCACAGATGCCATTCTAGTAGAATGAGAAAATGGGGGGCCAAGAACTATGGTGAAGCCTATATGATATTCCAAAGAATTGCACCTATGTCTTCCCAGGGCTAGAGAGTTCCTGAAGGTCATTAATCAACTGTCAATGAAATTGGTACTGAAATACATGCATCTCTGAACTGATAGAAAAAATGACAGAACAAGTTATTTTAAGTATTATAAGTGCAGATTCATGAGAGCTACCGTATACATGAACCACTGGGGCAGGAATGAAATAACTAGTGATACTACTGTTGTACAGCAAGAAAAATGAATGCCCTCACTGCCTTTTACCCATATACCCACACAGCTCTTTCTGTCAAGTTACAAATATCTTCTTGATATCTTATAACATTATAATTTAGATAATGAAATGTCTTTTGTCCAAAGGGCAGAAGGAGAAGTCAATCCAATGACCACAATCTCAAATCTGTAGGGTTTTGTTATTCAGCTGCACACACCTACCCCATTATAAATATTTTTTTCTGTAGCTCAAAGACACCCAGTATGCACTCTTCAAACCTTGCTCTGTTGCCTCAGATGGACACAGGGCTAGTCCAGTGAAACCTGTTTAACACAACTTCAGTAGCTTCAAATGCAGCCAAGAAAGCCAAAGCAATTCCCACAGCTCCACCTCCCTCCAGCACCAAGGAGCACTGGAGGATATGTTGTTGCAGCCTGAGGCAAGATGCTTGTCATGTAGGCCAGTAATCCTGTCCTTCATCTCCTTGAACTGCTTGCCTTGGCAGTGACAAACAGGACT